TCTCAGATCCATGCGGGCACGCATGGGGAGACAACAATTCCCTTTAAACGAGATGTGGTATTGATTTATTTTCTCTGAAAAAAGGAAAAAAGAAAGAAAACTTCTATGGAAGGCGCTCCGCCGTAAATGAATAAATAAAAGCGGGATGTATAGAGCAGTGGGGCGCACCACTTTTTCCTCTTTTTTTTTCTTGCTTCTACCACCTTCCTGGCATTTTTCTTCCGCCCGCACGTGTTTGTAGAAGGCTACTTGGCAATCTGGCGAAGGAGGAGGGAAATCTTGTTGGCCTTTTTAATCGATTCCAGCGCCTGCGCTCGAAGCGTCTTGTTGGCTGAAGTCAGATCGGTGCCGTTCACCGCATCCACGCGCCATTTAATGTGACCATCCGTGTCAGGCTGCAGGGACTTCAGGAAAGGATGCGTCTTCAGGGCCGCTGAGATGGGCGGCAGGCGTGTCAAGACGAGATTGTCCCCGCCGAGCGACATCTTCATGTCCCATGGCGTCTTCAAATCTGGACGACGAAGCTCCATTTGGGCGCCGTCGAACTTGTCGAGAGTGACAGCGTTTTCAAACGTCAGCGGAGGCGCGTCCGCAAGTTCAGTCGGTGACACCTGAGCAACCTCGCCGAGCGATGCGGTGTCTGCTGGTGCTGCAGCAGGCTCCTCCTTCGGCCTCACTTTCTTGCTTATTTTGGCAGCCAGGTCCGAGGTCGGCTTCACGTCAATGAGCGGTGTGTCCAGTACTCCCTGCGCTTGCGCCGCCGCCTCCAAAGTCTCTGCAGCCCCGGTCACCGCCTCTCCTCCTTTTGTCTCCGTTGCCCCACTCTCGTCAGAGTGCGTCGCCTCAGCTCGTTCCCCCTTGGCCTTCTTCTTTGCTTCCTTGGCCCGCTTCTTTTCTTCTTTCGCCCGCTTTTTCGCCTCTTCCTTGGCTTTTTTCGCCGCCTTCTTGGACGATAACCGTTTCTTTTGCTTTGGCGCCTCGTTTCCTAGTTCTGCTTTCTTCGGGTGGCCTTTCTTTTTTTTCTCCGGCGCTGCATCAACTTCCTCATTCCCATGCGCGGCTTCCAGAGGAAGTTCTTGCACCTCTTCCATTGGCGTGTCTTCTACCACTGCCGCCTCCAGCGCTTCCTGAGCCGTCGCCGCCTTTTTCGAGCGACCCCTCTTTTTCTTCTCGGATACCTCTTCCTCCGCCGTTGCTTCCAGAGGGAGTTCCTGTGCCTCTTCAATCGGCGTTTCTTCATCCACAGCCTGAAGAACTTCCTCTGACACTGTCACTTTCTTCGAGCGACCCCTCCTTTTCTTCTCGGATACCTCTTCCACTGCCGTTGCTTCCAGAGGGAGTTCCTGTGCCTCTTCAATCGACGTTTCTTCATCCACAGCCTGAAGAACTTCCTCTGAGGCCGTCACTTTCTTCGGGCGACCTTTCTTTTTCCCCACGAAGACTTCTGCTGCTGCTTCATCTTCCGTCACCTCCGGAAGCGGCTCGTCGGGGTCAATGTGGTGCTTTTCCAAGAGTGCTCGGTGCTCGGCCACCTCAGCATCTTCCTCTTCAACAGCACCCCACACCTGTTGGGGAGCTGCTGCCACCGCCGCTGTAGCCGTACCTTCCGCAGCTTCCTCTGTTCTTCCTTCCGTCTTTCCGGTCGCCGTCGCCACAAGACGCTCCACGTCATCCACCACTCGGATCCGAAGAACCAGGTAAAGAGAGCTGCGTATCATCTCCATCAGAAGATCGGAGTTTGACACATCACATCCGTTCGCATTCACAATGAGCAAGTGACCTCGATGATCGGTAAGAAACTTAGTCGCCGCTGGAGAGAGCGGCAGCGTCTTGGAAAAGTCCTCTAGAGCCAAGACGCCCTCAGCACGAATGCGCATCTTGAGTTGCCACTGCACCCCGGTTGACGGCCGCTTAAGAATAAGCGCCACCTGTTGTCCTGACGCACCCTCGCCACCCTGCGGCAAGATGTCGAACGCAATTTCCTGCGGCTCGCTCAGTTGATCCACTTTTGCAACGGTCAAAGAAACCATACGGTCTGAATCTTGTAGTTCATTCCGTATTCTCTCCCAGCGTTCTGAATTGGCGCCAGTGTCTTGGTCAGTGCCTATTTGATATCCGTTTATTTCAATAATAGGCAATCCAGTTGTTTGTTGTTGGAGGGCAAAGTACAGGGCGTCACCAGCTGGCGTAGCGTTTCGCAGAGTGTTCTCCAATCCTACCAAAGCGCCTGCCGAATTGAGCATCACACCCCACTTAGCCGTGGGTCCCACACGCTCAATCACAACCTTACCAGTGGCAGCGCTGTAGTGGGTCACCTTGGCGAACTTCTCCGCGGTTCCTTTAGACACTTGGCGGAGTGACGGTGTGGTGTGGAGGGCCGCAAGCCCCAGACGCTCTGGTTGTACCATCAGAACCCAGCCAAGGAGACTGAAGTACGATTGCACAGTCAGAGCTGAGGTTGCCACATCGGCTGCTGCACTGCTTCCCAAGGGTGTGGTGCCGTTCTCGTTAAATGGAGCACTGATAGCATCAAACGCCGTCACCAAGGCACCACGAAGTTGCACAAAGTCCTGTATATTTCTTTTCGTGGCTTGTAGTGCGAGCCGCTCCTCCTCGGTTCGGCGCCCCTCTTCGAGAGGCCCCATCTCCGCCGTGAGTCTTGCCTCGAGTTTCCTGCACGCCTCGCTGTAACTATCTCGCACAATGCCAGTGGACAGCACGGCGGCAAGCGACGCCACAGCCTTGGCACAAGTGCTCTTCTCAGCAAACGCAGTCTCCAGTCGCGATATGGCTGCTGCTGCTTCCTCGTCGGAGGTGAGCGGCACGAGCGCCTCCATGTCACTTGACACAGCGCAAGAGGCGTAGGCGAGCATCACACTCTTCTGCACAGCGTGGAGTGCCTCTTTGGGTGTTGAGGTGGACTCACGCTCGAGCGCCAGACGGAGCTCGCGGAGCACAACGCCCTGAACACGCGACACCTCTGAGCGGAGCACGCGATCGTGCGAAGGGTTCGGCACAACCTGCCGAATCGTCTTGTCGAACAACATAAAAGGCGCCATCAGGCGTGCCTTGAAGGCCATAACGGACTCCGCAAACGGCACTCCCATGTTTGGCGCAGCTTCCACGCCAGTAGGGCTTGCTTGGGCCTCCCGCACGGCGGCAGACGCCCGCTTGTCTGACTTCTTCGTACGGTACATCACCACCAACGGAAATACGACAGCCTGAGGGAAGATACTTCGGCTTAAGCGGTAAGCGACGCTATCGGCAACGCAGCGACGGGATTGGGAAGAATGAGAGAGAGAGAGAGAGAGAAACCAGAATAAGCAGCAAAATCCAGGTGGTGTTCAGCCGGTGCCGACCAGAAGCAAAACACCATCAACAGCACCAAAAAAGGGAAAAATAAGCAGACGCCCCAAGACGAACGCATTGAACATCTTCCTTTTTTTTTCTTCGTCCTTTTAATGCTCTCCGTCGCTTTTCCCTCATCTTTCTCTCTGGATTGCTCATGTGTTCCCTTACTTGACGGCGGCGTTCGTTACCTCGGGGATCTTGAGCACACCGTTGGCGTGCTGCGCGGGGGTGTCGCGCCAACGCACGATGCCCTCACCGTCTGTGCGCAGAAACCCGACATACTCGCTCATGACGGCACTCGACAGCTGCTTCGTCTCCTGCAGCTTTGCGGGGTCAAAGGCGTCGTTAAAAACAATACGATCACCTGGCTGGGCACCCTCCGGTGGGCGGACGAGGCGAAGAGCGTTATCATTGGAGGCGCAGAGAACCATACCATGTGATGTGATGCCCTTCAGGGGCTTTGGCTTCATGTTGCACACCGCGATGCACAGCGAGTTGTCCAACTCCTCGATGGTGTAGTGCTCCACGAGGCCAGAGACGATTGTGCGCTTCTCGGATCCGAGATCCATCTCCTCAACATAGAGGCGGTCCGCATCTGGGTGACGCTTGACATTTATGAAGCGGCCAACACGCAGGTCGAGACGGTTGGGATCCAATGGGGCGGGCTCCTGACGCCCTTTCTTCTGCTGCGCCTTGTCGTCCTTCGCACTCTGTGGATCAGCGGCGGCTGCGGCGCCACTGTTAGCCTGTGCCAGTTTCGCCAGCTTCTCTTGCTTTTCCTTCTCCTTCTCCAGACGGCGGCGCAAAATCTCTTCTTCTGACGGCTTCACATACATGGGCTTATTACCCTTCGCCGCCTTGGCCGTTGCCGCTGCTGCTGTTGTTGCGGACTCGGAGAGAATGGGCGCAAGGAAGGCGTCACCCTGGGCATGGAGCGACCACGCCACCGTGGACGGCAGCGTCTCCGCCGCTCCGTTGGGGTGGGCATGAATAGCGGCGTACAGAAGATAGTCTGCGACAGTCGCGCGTGGCGTTCCCACCAGGAAGCTCTTCTGCACGTTGGAAGTCTCCACACACTTCTCAATCTCCGCAAAGACGTGCTTAGCGAAGGGTGTACCAGCAGCTGCTCGCTCACCCATCGCGTCAGCAGATACGAGGAGCGCTGTCGACACCCACTCATTCACCAACGGACGCACTTCTGCATCTGCTCCTATGAAGGCACGTAGTTCGGCGTCCTCTGCCGTGGTGCGCAGCGTTGTGAGGAGCGGAAGAATGCCCATGTGAATCATTGAACCGTCCTTCACGGCGAAGTGCTGCCCCTCCGCGATGATGTGGTCGGCCGGGACTGCAAACATCTGAAGCAGATGTCGAATAGCCTTGGCGAGAGGGGATTTCTCATGAAGAATGTACTTGTAGTTCATTGTTGCCTGGACTCCTTAATCAGCAGCCGACAGAGCACGAGCGCACCAAGGAAAAGAAGAAAAAAGAAAAAGAGATGAATTGAATGTGTTTGGGTGCTTCCATCGGCGACAGCAAAAAAGAATTCCCCAGCGGGATAAAAAAAAAAGGAGGCGCTGGAAAATGCAGCCACGCCAAGTGGGACCGACGCGTGGATGGCTGCAACGTCTAAACCACACTACATGTCACCTAGCACAGAAAGACTCATGCGTCTTCAATAATCATAAAAGAAGGAAAAAAAAAAATCCACCACCAGCCAGCATTAAATTAATCAACGTGAAGAAGAGAAAACGTCATTTCCAACATGATGCTGCTTGTACTCCGCGACACGGAGACGCAGCTTTGGGATGTCGTTCTTAAGCACGGACTCTATTCTCTTGCGTCCCCAGGGACTGAATGTCGGCAGCGACGCAACAACGCCACGCTCCGCCACTGCTGAAGTCTCGGCCAGGTCAAGGATCTCCGGCTTCACCGCATTCTTCCAGCGCAGCTGTAGATCAAGTGTCTTCTCCCGTCCAATGAACAAACGGTCCACAATCACGTCACTGTTCTCGAGTAACTCCATCTCGAGTTTCTTCAGGCCCATGAACGATACGTACAGCGTACCACCTGACGCGAGAAGCGCCATGCCGGCGAGCGACAGCATGGTTGTGGAGAAACCGCCTAAACTCAGCAGCAGCGCGGCGACGCAGAGGAGTGTCGCCGGCACCAATACCGCAACTACCTGCCGCTCGCGGTACTTCCACACGATGGCGTTGCACACGCGTCCAGCGAGGAGAATGCGCCTCGCACCCTCCTCCGTCTCCGTGATGAGGTTGTCGAGGCGGCGCAGCGGAGCACGCAGCAGCTCCTCCACCACCTCGTCCCGCTGTCGCACGAACTCCTGAGTCACCACTGCTGTCGCATTCGCATCGTCTAACGGGGTCGTAGGCAATTTTGCTTCGGCCCCATTCGCAATAATTGTTCCTGCTGTTTCTGGCGCAGCAGCATCCGCTTCTGCTGCTGCTGCCGCCGCCGGTGCAGCTTTGGCAACACTGCTGTCACTCTCACCACCATGCACTCTCACAGGAACGAAGGTAGTGTAGATGCGAGGTATGTCTTTCATTTCCAGCACCTTGCTCAGGTTCCAACAGAGGGCTCCATACGCCCGTGCAAAGTCGGTCGCCTTATCGAACATGTCCACCTTGTTCATCACGAGTAGGAACTTGTGCTCGAACCCTGCGAGAGACTTCGTGAGGACGTCGAGTGTCTCACCCGTTGTGCCGGGGTTGGCGGGGTCAAACACGAGCAGAATCACGTCGCAGCGTGCCGCGAACCACCGCGTGGCGGCGAGAAAGTCGTAACCGCGCAGCTGCCCCTCCAGCGATGTGCGGTCGCGCACATGTATAGGTGTGTCAATCATTCCTGGTGAGTCCACAATCATCAGTCCGGGCGGCACACGTGACGTGGGTGGCAGGCGCCGCGTCTTCACGCGGAAGCGGTGCGCAAAGTGTGGGCCAAACTTCTGCAGGTCTTGCAGCTGGTACCGCGGGTCGCTCAGGCTTGTGGGGCCGTCATCCTCACTGTCCTTGCTGCCGCGCTGAATTATCGTAAATCCGTCGTCCGTCGGCGCCACCCCTGTCCGCTGCACCTCGCGACCCAGCAGGTAGTTGATGAAGGTGGACTTGCCAGCGCTGTGGTTGCCGAGCAGCATGACCATCGAGTGGTTGTAATTCGCGTAGGGGAGAAAGTGGAAGACGTCATCGTATTGCCGCAAGGTGCCATCGCGCAGCCTGGCGAGGGTGTCCTCAATGCCGTTCAGCTTCTTGCGATCAAACGCACTCGAACTCCACTCTTCGGAGGCCATTTCCTCAGCGGCTTTCTCTGCCGCCGCCTTTTCTTTCCCCTTATTTCGCCGCTGCTGCTGCTGCTTATCCCCCTCCTCCACTTCTCGTTGTTCATCATCTTGAGCTGTCATCTCGGCCTTCTTCGCAGCAGCTGTGGCTGTGAAGAATCCGCGATGGCTGTTACGTACCGCAGTGCACCCGCATCCGTGCACAGCCGCAAGGCGACGACGATAGAGTGTGGAGCGCGCCGCTACACCAAGCTCCGTTGTCAGTAGAGACGCGGGCTGGTAGCGCAAGAGACTACTCCGCAGTGCAGTAACGCCAGCTTTATTGAACATCCCCATTCCTTCACAACCTACGCAAGCAAGAACAGACATTTTTCAAGAGAGGACGAGGAGGAGAAGGAGGCACACGGAGCGCAGAGCAGGACAGCAGCGGACCCACACACACCCACGTGGGGTTCCACAGTCACATCTGCTGTGCATGCTCACCTCCTTCCCTCTT